ATTTGCCTGCCATGTTTTTGTATTACAACAACAGGTTACCGAAGACCCAATAAAAGGTGCCCCTTGAATGGTCAGAATCTCGAGGACAAGATGCAGTCTTGTTTGGCATAATTAATCGCCAAAACTGGGCGCATATTATAGACGCTTGCCTTTCAAGCGGATATACATGTAGGCCTACCGGGTACTACTCCCCAGTAGACCCGTGTTGAAATCAACACGGAACCATGTGAGCAAGCCACGTCTGAGCAAAAACAGGTTTTTACACAAGTCGACCGTAGCATTTCGAATTTTTTCACTCGGGTTGAGAGTCTTTACACCCTGATCCTGTCCAGTGATGGAGTTTACCCATGTAGAGCACTGGACCCATGTAGACGCCATGTTGAATTCTTGCCTGGTTGCCAAAATCTCCGTGTTGAGCCCGGATCCAACACGGACATTTTGGATTGTGTGAATCGGCTGAATGTGTTTCAGCTACGCTTTTGAAAAATACATTTCAACAGTCAACTTGCATACATTACTCATGCAAACCTGCCATATTCAGGGCCCCATGTTTGACAATCCTTTTTTTTCTTCCAAATTTTCATAGAGCTTGAACAAGATTCGGGTACGGCAAAGTTCTTTGGAAATGGGAACAATGGATCTTCTATGGACCTGTACATGATAGGGGTAGATCAGCCATGCACAAGTACCGGTACTGGTACAGTGTACTTTATTTAAAAAAAAAAAAGGCAAATATAAATGGAGAGACGGTGGGGTCCTGTACCGTACGTCATTGATGAATCATAGAGAGGGTTAAAAGGCCTAGTTTTTTTCTGGGGAAAAAGCCAAACCAGATCGAACTTGTTATGACTATTTAGTGTACAATTGGAACTAGTATGCTTGAACTAAATTTACTGTATTGTGCAAGTACAAAAACATAGGCTGTTGTTGGAAACGTGCTAGAAAACATCCTCAGCGTGTCTAGACATTTCTACGATTACGTGCCTACATGGCATTGAAGGTCTGCTGAACACTGATTTTATATTGTACAGTTTAAAACACCCTGGCGCTGTATAAAACTGTATTTCATATTTATAAGCAGACAAAAGTGAAAATAACAAAGTACATATAATGCAGCCACAGTGAGATGCTGTATACTACCTGCAGTATAAAACTCTATCACGCTGCCACCATTTCAGTCATGTTCCCTGTATCCAACAACAGTACTGAATGATACTGTTTTTATGTGCAAAAAGGAACCAGACTAAGTTTCCTTCCAGCCTCGCTTTGGTTTATACGTTGATTTGAATGGGAAAAAAATCATGATGGCCGCAACATGATAATGGTCTTTGCCATTTTGCACCTGCACACATAATGAATAGGGGAAGATCAGTTGCCAAATTTGCTGCTTAAATAAGTGTAAATAATTTGATCATTTAGTGATAAACTTGATTATATGCAAAAGTATTTAGTGATAAACTTGATTATGCAAAAGTATTCCTGTTAAATTTGTCCACAGTATGTCGAAAACCGACTCTTTAACCCTTTAGCACTACTGTTCCAAACCGCCCTGCTAATTACTCCCTGTAGCGCCTGAGCTGTCTATGGAGTTCGTCAGTGAATAAACACAATGTAATTCAATGTAGTACAAGTGCTAGTGGGTTTTAAAATCCTTGCAAAGTTCTTGAACTTATATTGTATGCACAGTGATGTGGACAGTTTTTAATCCTAACCTCCCCACCTCCATCAAAATCCATCCCCCCCATTTTGGTGGATTTTGGGGGCCTTGGTCCTGCAGGCCTTGACTAAATATTGATGGAGTATGATGGACTTGGGCCTGTAACATGTACCGGTATGTGATAAATGATGGGGCTACCCTGGTTAAATAAATAAATAAAAAAAGAAAATGAAAAAAATTCATTTTTGATAAAAAAATACCTTCTTTCACATGTAGTTCATCATGAATAACTCGTCGCTCGATTTTGTGATTGACTTTATAATGACTTGATGTCCGTATGAGAGTGTTAGTTTTTTGTATGTATTTATTAAAGAATGAGAAGTTTATGCTTCCAAAAAGCTGCAGTTTCTCTTCATATTTAATGTTCGTCACATGACTTGCGTAGGAGTGGAAATGTTTTCTGTCTGTTGTCGGCAACCTTTCGTAAATAAATCACCAGTAAAGGCAATAAAATGACAGGTTTTACTTCTCACAAACACAATTCAAAGGTTAGACCGAACTTTCAGCTTGCATGGTGACTTTTGCCACCAGACATGGCACATGCCAAAGTTCCAAAAAGGTGACCTATTGAGCCCAGGCGAACATACTTTGTACTTTTTTTTATTTTTCCTGGGTTCCAGACAATTCTGACATCCAACCCCTGTCTTGGTAAACATAATGGCATGGCGACACGTACTGTACTGGTAGGGTAGGAAGGACCAACCACAGATTTAGTCTGGTATCGACACCAGAGGTTTTCCCAAGGGTCCAAGGGGCATTGTTTCCTGTGCAAGAGATGGCAAGGAAATTAGAGTAGCCTACGACTACAAAGTTTTCGGGCTATGAAAAGTTCCAATTTCCAATAAATAATTATTTTGGAATATTTTCCCCACCTTAACCCCAACCCCTTTAAGAGCACTTTTACTAGAAAGTATCCTGAATTCGGCAAAATCTACCAATTTTGTCATGCAAACAAATATTGGTGACCTGAGTCCATCAGAATCCACCGGTGAGTCCATTAGACTCCACCAGTGTAGTATATGCCTCGGACACACCATACATGTACAGAAGCAAAGGAGTTAAACTGTTGAGATCCTGAATCCATCAAACCCCCCCAACTGCTCAATATGGAGGTACATATATCCTGAATCCATCAAAATCCTGCAGTACCGCTAGGCTTATACTGTCCTGAATCCATCAAAATCCCCTAACTTTTTCAATATGGAGGTATCCTGAATCCGCTGAAATCCTCCAAAACAGGGGTGTGGATTTTGATGGATTGAGGTACCAAGCTTGTATTGTACAGGCAAGGCGGGTACTATTTTGCTTTTTTGTGTCCTCATTATACATTGGTGTCCTCTATAATTTGCCTTGGTGCCCTTTATCATTTGCCTTGGTGCAATTTCCCCATTCCTTGGTGCTCCTTGGTACAAAAATTTGAGGAGGCGCGACATAGAGGGCGCTGTTGTAGCTTCCGTGTTAATTAAAAAAAAAAGAAGGTTGACGCGCATGATTAAAATCGATGCGCGCGCTGACCAGAGACTGAGTATTTTTTTTGTTGGCCTAAACATACTTTTTTGACCCTGATTTGTATTAATGTGAGGAATGTGTAAGGTGAGCAGAGGGCTGTGGATAAACATGAACAGATTTGAGTGGGTATTTGGTACCGGTACCGGTACCGGGTGCAGTGTTTGCTGCAATTTGATTGGTTTGTCCAGTCTGTCAGGTTTTGAGTACCGGTATGTACACAGTTCAGACATTGTTTGTGCATGATCCTTGCTCAGAAAAAGGTCAGCCTCTCCATGGACCGATCACAGCAAAGCAAACATTCCTTTTTCAAATTGTGGTTGAATTTTTTCATGTGCGATTTTAGACTTTTAAATTTTTATTTTTTTTTTTAAAGTTGTTGCTTTATTTTTTATTAAGGGAATAAATGTGTGCACCGGAGGTTTTTATCACTCTGTTTAAGACCACTTAGAGTCTGGGTGCTGATAATTACCCGAGCCGGAGGCCAGGGGCGGCGGAACCGGAAGGGGGGCTGGGGGGGCATTTGCCCCCCCAGATGTTCCCAAGTGCCCCTTTTGCGGCCATAAATGTGCCCCCTGGAACAGTAAAGTACCCCCTCAAGATACCACAAAAATGCCCTTAAAGTATCTTACTATTTCTTAGAAGTAACCATATCTCCAAAAAGGATATAGATATTTGTGATATAAACGAGGAATATGAAAACCAAGTCCCAAAACCCATACAATACGGCCTGAAAATGGGCACATAATGCATATTTAGCATATAATCATTGCTTTTGAAGAGCGCCCCCTATGTTGGAAGATGGTACCGCCCCCCCCCCCCCCCCCCCCCCCCCCAATTTGGTTTTACGGGGGCCAAGTGTCCGGTGAAAAAAACGTGACGACATTTCAGCACGGATTTGCAAGTGCCCCTTTTTGGTGATGGCCCCCCTCCCCCAGTTTCAAACCCGTTCCGCCGCCGCTGCCGAAGGCGAGGGTAATTATCAGCACCCAGACTCTAAGTGGTCTTAAACAGAGTGATAAATACCGACGGAGCACATATTTATTCCCATTCATAAATACCTTTTCGGTAAAAATAAATCATATAATATAAAATCATATAAAATCAACAAATTCACTTTATGCTTTTTGAAACATCCCTCTTGCAAAATAATGGAGTGTTCAGCTGGCGAGTAAGATGTAAACAACCCTTTTATGGAGATTGACACGCGCGTAACATGTTCTGCGCGATGTCGCGCAGAACGCACCTGGCGCGTTGCGTTTTGAATTTAGAACTATAAAATTCTGACTCCCTGGTACTGGTAGTGTTGCACATGCCTACGTGAGGATTGTGAACGTTCAACCAATGAAACGATAAGAGGCACTGGATTTTTAGGAGTCCACATTTTATTGTGACACTGGAAAAGTGTTTAAGACCAGCTAGCCATGTCTTTATCATCCGTTTAAGACCGGCCACGTGACGGGCTCTCGACCAATAGGAATGCGTAAACTGTGTTAGGTATTTATGAATTTTGATTATAAATACAATAAAAAATAATATTCTTTCCTTTTTCCCCCTTAATATACCGGTATATGTATGTGTGGCATTACTGTGATTTGACAATATGCATGTACAGTAGAGAGATTGTCTCGTTAAAATTGTATTCCAGGCATTCTAAAGGGCCCTATAGGTAAACTCTGTACAATCTATTTTCAATCTTCACAAAGTGTTTTTTATTGACGTATCAAAGTAGTCCATAAACAGTTTCTACCTTTTTGAAATATTTTTTTGTTTTCAGATGCGAGAGATGACGTGCAGAAGAGGACTTTCACGAAGTGGGTCAACTCCCATCTCAAAAAGGTAAGACGTATCAATTTCAGGTCACCATTCTGAAACTATGCACATTTAAATTATCCTGTACCCCCAAAATATTTTCTTGCAATCGAATCCCTCAATTTATAATTCTCAATTAAAGGCACGCAGGTGCCATAATTACCTCAGAAAAACCTCGCTCTAAGTGAAGATACCCGGTAGGGATGGCACCAAAAACCCTGTGAAATAATTCTGCCTGAAATGGTGGTGTTCAGAAGAAATATGATCACTGAAGGTGATTTTTTTTTTTAAAAGTGAGCCTGCTGGCACACAGCATTCGCCCTCCTATGCAAATGTACATTGCAAAGTTGTCCTTTCAGTCAAACTCAATCAAGTGACTGTTTTCAACAGTTGAGAGCTCCCAGCCTATAGCAGGATTGACTGGCTGTGACTGTTTAGGTAACTTGATTCAGCTATGTTTTGACTGTAGGTGATTGATATTTAAGCCAGCTGTGCCTACCACTTGCCTGCTTTTGTCTATTGACTGAATTTGACTAGTCAAAGTGCTTGCGTGAAATATGATCTGGCTGTTGGTGACTAGCCTGTGTAAAAGGCATGACGGGGAACAGGATTACATTTTTTGACTGTCTGTGACTGTTCAAACAGCAGGAGGCTTAAAAAAATTCATTAAATTCTCTTTGGTTATACACATGTACATATGTAAGTCTATGATATTCAGACGTTTACACTTGCAATACGTGTGACACTGAGAAATATATTTCTACCGTAGCATGCAGCTTGATAAATCAATGCATGGCTCACAGATAACGTCAAGACTGTACATATAGTGCCAGGCGTGCTGCACTGCTCGACCTGTTTGCATATTTTATCAAATAAATAGCCTGATAAAGCTGCCCATTCAAACAATAAATATCTGGAGAGAGTTTGTATTTAAATATATTATACACGCTGTATCTGCAAAGCGTTATGAATTTAATAGATGAGGCAAGGTATTAATTATACGTTTCAGTGAATGAGTACATGAACACTTTGAGTCAGGCCTACATGTACAATGTCTAAAACTATACCCTCCTCCCCAAACCCTACCGGTAGTCTATGGAAGATCCACTTGCAGATCCGGCGATTAATTATGCAAAACAGTGTTCACCTTGTCTTGACCTGCAGATTCTGACCATTCAGTGGGCGCCTTCTATCGGGTCTTTGTTAAACCCGTTGTTGTACATTTTAACAAAAACATGGCAGCAAATTGACCAATCAACAGCTTAGTCCACATTTCTGCACCAAATGACGTCGCAATTTCTAAGTTCGACTCTAAATGGCTGGCGCGCGGGGTCGCATAAATTTGCAATGCTCACTTTATAAGCCTACCGTATATCGGACGTTGGTTGCAGAGCTACGGTAGCTAGCTATACTCAGACTACCCCCGAACCCCTTTCATCTGACAAAGATGAATGATTGTATTCCTGCAAAAAGAAAAATGTTTCTTTTCCCCAAAAAGCATCACATATATGCACTAGTATGTTAATTGCAAAGCCTAACTTTTCACTAAATATGTTGACCTCAACACCTACAAGCTGCCCCAGCCCAGCCCACCCCAGCCCACCCCACCCCACCCCAGCCCACCCCACCCCCTTTTAAAAAAAATCCTGGACAAAGCACTTCAGCTACCCCATCCCTTTGATAAATCCTGGCTGTCCTCTGCAACATGTTCATGGATTATCTACATTATGAGTGGAGATCAGATCAAGGCTAGTTTCTGCTCCTTTTTTGGGGGGGGGGGGTGGGAGTTGGGGTTGGGGGTGGTGGTGGTGGTTTGGGGGCGTGAGCGGATGGTGGTGAAGAATTTGTGAGATGACCGTCACACTGGGTGGGAGTGACTAACTCTGAAAAGAGAAGTTGCTCTCTACTAGAGTTGATTAGAAATTTTGGTAAGCAAACTGGCCACCATCATGAGAATTCTCTGAAGAGTCATGCAAGAAATTGAAAGGTAATATAACAACATTTGCAAACATCAAAAAACAAAAATAGCAACTTATTGTGAAACACCTTACTTGACTTCGAAAGTCTCAAGCATCCTGTGAAATCATGGCACCTGGTGTGCTGTCATCACGGTCACTTTCATGAAAAGTTGAATTTTTGTATCATTTTCCAACGACTGTTTTTGGAAAAAAACTGACTTTTTTTTTCAAATAGTAGTGTCCCCATTTACCAAATTGTACTTTTTTTCAAACAGTAGCGTCCCCAATTTACCAAATTTAGTGAGTCCACATTTTGTTTGCAATCAGTTACACATCCGTGAAGGGGTGCAAGCCAGCTAGTCTGGTTCCCTGACCTGACAATTCCCCGAAGTCTATAGGTACATTGCTCGGTTTCGTCTGAAGTAGGGCCAGACTACAAGGACAACATTTTTTGGGGTTTTAGCATCTATGAACACAAAACTTTAAACAGGACGGTGTAACTGTATTTGCTATAAAATACTAACCCCCAAATCCATCCATTTCTGAAAATTACAGCAAAAGCAAGCAGTGGATACAATTGTTCAAAGCCTTTGCTTAATAATTCCGCAAATAACTGAACCGTAAACTACCCTTTCAGTTTATGCCCCACTCCATGGCCCAGATAGCCCCATTTGATCTTATTTAGAAGAAAAAAAAGTTCAGCGACCAGCTAAACTGGCATTTAGGGTCCCTGTTAGGTCAAAAACCTTTTCAAATTATACAGAAATGAAAGAACCTGAAAAAAAATTACGCTGGCGTCTATCATCGTTGCCACAGGCAGAAGGCCAACTCTGAGTTAAACTTCATTAGAAAATTATTACCTAATATTGTTACAGATTTCTTCGTGAGATTAGAATGACAGTTAAAAATAGCTGCCTACATGTATTTTTAGACCAAAACCCTTTTCAAATTGTACAGAAATGAAAGAACCTGAAAAAAAAATTTAGGCTGGCGTCTATCATCGTTGCCACAGGCAAAAGGCCAACTCTGAATTTGAAAGTTATCGCCTAGTATTGTTACAGATTTCTCAGTGAGATGAGAATGACAGTTAAAAATAGCTGCCTATTTTATAAAAAATGTCTATAAAAACATATTGATGTGCATATACAAGGCCACACTTAAGAAACTGTGGCATTACACTTTCCGTAAGTGCGTACATGTTTCACAATCTTGAAACTACGTGTATGCCCACACAAAAATTCTGAATTCCAACTCAAGAAGATTACATTTTTTTTTAAAAACCCACACGTTTATCTTTTTTAGGAGTTTTTGTTGACTCTTTGTATTTGCGTACAGGCGGTTAATGGGTCCGTTTTGCCAAGAAAAAAATTGATAAGAGAACTGTAGTGGAGGTGCCATGACGCCTAAACAACCCAGATAGGAAAATGATTGATTTGCGTCAAGCGTGTCAAGGGCCAGATTTTTGTTTCCCCGTTGAACAAATTCACAAGATTTGGAGAAATTTCTAGGATGGCGCCACTTTGTGTACATTTTCATTGTATCGGTACCATAAAGTTCAATCTTGAATGAAATGTGGACAGTGCATTGCGTGTAATAGTAATGTGCTGCTTAGAAAGGGCTTTTCATTGTACTGTGCCGATATGCATACTGATACTACAGGTACATGTGTGTACACGGACCGTGGGTTGTCGTTCCATAAATTTGGGGCCCAGGTTTTTTTTGTGCCCCTAGTTACCGGTACGTCTGATATAAGGTGTTGTAAATTCAGAAAACGGTCTTTAATGCCTTTTATGGATATCTCCAAGAGTGAGTAGGCAAAAAGTAAAGTTGTACCTGTCAAACAAATAAAAAAACAGTTTGAAGTCAATTTTTATAATGATATTTGCATGGTAAATAGGGCTGTGCATCGGAACCGGGCAGTCCTGAGTACCCGACTGTTAATGTCAGGAACCGGTTCCAGATTATGGAATTGGGTACCCACAACAAACTTTACAAATTACATAGTAACTTCTCAGACATTGAAAAGAGAAAAGTTTTCGAATGTCAGTTGTGGAGGAAAAATGAAAACCAGGCTACATGGGTAGAAATACACGGGTACCTGTTAGGCCAAAAAAAACAAATAGTCGGTCTCTGGTCAGACCGATGTTCCGGAATTGATGCGGCGACGCGTTTTTGTTTTGTTTTTTGGTGGCTTTTTTTTTCCAAGCTTGTATTGTACAGACAAGGTGGGTACTATTTTGCTTTCTTGTGTCCTCATTATACATTGGTGTCCTCCATAATTTGCCTTGGTGCCCTTTATCATTTGCCTTGGTGCAATTTCCCCATTCCTTGGTACTCCTTTGTACAAAAATTTGTTGTAGCTGTTGTAGCTTCCGTGTTAATTTGAAGAAAAAAAAAGGTTAAAATGATTAAAATCGACGCGCGCGCTGACCAGAGACCGAGTATTTTTTTTTTTGGCCTTACAGAAATCCAGCCCCAAAATTTAAAGCCCCAAAATTTAAAGATTCGCATGCTACCACATCAGTGCGTCAATTACAGCAAGATACAGTGAGCTCCAAGTCAGTAAAATACCGGTACAGAAGGCTATACACAACTTTGAGTGTACATAATGTAAATTGCATTTTTGCAAGCATCGTAAACGTGAATTTGTTTTCCATGTACATGTAGCCTGGTTTTCATTTAAAAAATGGTCCACGAATGACATTCGAAACCTTTCTTATTCATTGTCTGAGGAGTTGCTAAGCTATGAAAGTACAGTTGGTCATGGGTACCTGATCCCATAATCTGGTACGCGGGTACCCGGTTCCCCGGTTCCCATGCACAGCCTAGATGAAGATCCACAGAGGATGAATTTGGACACAAAACGTTGCTCCTACAAGGATGAACAATCTCAATCAGTTTTCAGTGTGAATGGTCTGTGTTGGGTTTACTTAATTAGTTTACTGTGTTATTTAAACCTTCAAAAACTGAAAACTTTAAAATCAATCTGACCTTTTACACATATGTAGTTGTGCACATGTACCGGTACACGTATTGAACCAGACAAAGTGCCACGCCCCCCAGCTACAG